AAAAAAAAGATTAAGTCAAACAGGAGCCGCCTATATGAAGATGCTGATGTGTGACCGCGGCGTCCAGATGCTCGTGACGACGGTGGGCGCGTTCGCCGCCTTCAGCCTCATGACCATCGCCGTCGGTACCGACTACTGGCTGTACTCGCGCGGGGTCTGCCGCGTGAAGAGCAGCGGCGACAACGACACGAGCCGCAAGAACGAGGAGGTGATGACGCACTCCGGCCTCTGGCGAACCTGCTGTCTGGAAGGTACGTGATCAGTCTGACTGACTGGCTGTCTGTCTGTCAGAGCTGCAAGTGTGTGGACACGTCTGTGTGTGTGTGTGTGTGTGTGTGTGTGTGTGTGTGTGTGTGTAGCTGTCTGTTCAACACACATCCTGTCTCCCCTACTGTCTCCATGTAGCACAACTGGTGTGCCCAGTGTGTGCACATCTGTCCTGTGTGACAGCAGCACATAATCCCTGTAACCCTGAAATCGTCCAGACATGTTCACACACAGGAGGGCTGAATGGATTTGAAGTGATCAATTTTGTTAAGTTATCTCAACTTAAAATGAGTCTGACATCAACAGAAATTTGAGTTCAGTTTACGCAGAATATTAAGTGGATGCATCATTATTGCCAACTCAGTCCATCAAAATAATGTGTGCAACGCAAAAGGATTTTTTAAAAAAATCATGCAACCATGCATCTGAATGCCTTGAATGTTTATCCGAATTACGTTACCAAGTAAAATTTTTGCCACTGGTTTAAGTTACATGCACCAAAACCAGTTCAAAGTTCACTAAAAGTTTCCAATTTCTTTTAACGGAAACGCAAACATAAAATGTCAAACACAATTCTGTCATTCTCTCTCCTACTTGAAGAAAACGGCGATAAAGATGCATCAGGAAAATCTATAATGTAACGCTGAAGAAGCAGCAAAACTCATTTTCACACTTTCTCTCGAGTTCCAACATCTGTTCAAAGGGACAAAACGGAATTTTCAGTTGATAAAACCTGCAAAAGGAAACGGCCTTCACCAAAGCAGAAGTAAGATTTCCTCAAAACAGTCCTTTAATTCAACCACAGCTCAGATACATGTTTTACAGTGTGCTGCATACACTGTAAAACATGTATCTGAGCTGTCTGTTACTTTGGATCTCATTTAGCTCTCTGGCTCAGTGATGCCAGTCCACTGTACTGGCTTCTTTCAGCTTGAAATTGCACTTTGTCCCTTTAAACTGTTATTCTAGTTTTGGATGAAGTGCAAAAATAGTTTCACTGCATCTGGGGTCAGGAAAGAAAAGAACAGAGCAGGAGAAGTGTAATGACTAAATCAGGTTTTCCGATTTGCTTTTGGGTAAAGCAAAATTGGAGAAATTGGAAACTTCAAGTTGTCTATTCTTAAAATTAAGTTGCAAACTGTTCACTTGGAAGGAATCGTATAATTTAAATACATATAAGTTAAACCAACGGCACTAATATCACCTGGTAACTTTGGAGTTTGGATTAATTTAATTTGTGTGTCACCAGTTGAAGCTGTTCATTTAAGTTGATGCAACAAGTGTCTTATTTGAGTGCTGAAGGTACAAATAAAGCACCAATGGGCTCAGACAGCTGGCTGTCATATTAGCCAGTCAACTGCTCCACTATCTGCACACTGTAACCAGGACGCTCGCACCCGGTGTTGTTAGGAGTTTGTTTATTTGAAGGCATCTTGTTGTCTTGTTGCAGGCAGTCTGAAAACACACATTTGGGCAGGTTGTTGTGTTTGAGTGGGATCAGGTGTGCATTTGGCAACCACCTGCTGATTACACAAACACACATAGTTGTCATACAAAGGGTTTTTTTTTGCATCTAAATTGCATTGATAATATATAGAATGATGTTTTTTTGGGAAGACGTGTGTTGACTTTGTGTTTTCCACTGAATCTTCGGGCTTTTTGAAACCTTAGTCTAGAGTTCATGACATAAATCACATTCTAATATAGTTTTACGTTCATCAGACCATTGTGGAGAAACATCAAGTGTCCCGCAGTTGGCTCTGGTCATCTGACCAAGGGTCCGATTTTAATTGGAGGTTGTGGTTGGAGGAAACTTAAAGACACCTTCCGATAGAAATCACATTTTTTACACGCCCACATGGTGTTTTTGTATGCTAGAAGACACATAATGAGCAGAATAAACAGTAAATGCCATGACTTAGCATTTCCATCTTGCAAGCTGTACTGTATGCTGTACCGTCTCAAAAACATGCATTCAGATGGCGATGTGTCACATGTGAGAGGCTAAGTAACTTATCCTGTCAGCTTCCAGGGTGTTGCTTTGTGTATTCTTCTTCTTCAGTATCTGTTTTCCTTTTGAACACATATGGCTGAATTCCTCCAATATTACAACTTACTGTTGTGTAACATAGAGTAGTTTTACAGTATTTGAGCAGAGGTGTGTTCGAGCTGCAGCGAGTGGCAAGAGGTGGTTGTAGACAGAGGCAGGGGCGTCACAGATCTGCACATTCAAGAGAAAGCAACATTGCAGGGTTAGATCTAAGCTGTTTTAAGGGATTTCTTTTTTCTTTCATTGACAAAAAAATCAAAATATGTGACTATGATACAAAGGGATGAGTTTTTCGGGGTCTAATCAATGACCGGAGTGGGACTTATGTGGCTAATGGTTAGTGCTGATGACGTGGGAATTGATGCTGCACAGATACTAACTTATTTTTGTATTCAAATACACACAATCCATACAGCACTAAGTAGTTCTCAGTATTTTCAGCTTTAAACCTTTAACCAGCAGCTAAATGTTAATGTTCAGTAAATCCCAGCACACAGAGGGAACACAGAGAAACTCAGCAACACTTACCTGCAACATCAGTAGCATGCAGGTTCATGTCTACATGTGTATTAGTGACACACAGAGACTGTTTTATTTTTTTTTTGCTGTACACCTGTGATTAATCAACTGCATGGATAACACAGAACACAAAAACTTTTGAATGAGCAAACAGCTGCTGTGCTCACGGTCTCTGGTTGACAAGATGACTGACATCAAGAGTTCAGAGAGCCCCCAATGGGTTTTGGAGTTTACCAGAAAATATCTAGGGGACAAAATTAGCTATTTTGTCGCTCTTGGAAGCAGGTCATTGCTTGTGATTACAAATATTTGGGGGATCCTCCTTTCCTGCTTAGGGGTGTGGTGCAGTTTCACTTTTAAAAACACTGTTAGGACCAACTTTGTAGTTATTGCATGAAATCAGATGAATATTAATGTCGTTTTTGTAGTGAGCTGAGCGGTGTGTCCGCTGATATTTGGGTTTGCACATCACTTCCGGCACTTCTTATGTCCTCATTTTGCTTCATTTAATTATTTAACTGAGATGGGAAAACATGAAACCACCAAAACCATTTTTTTCTAGAAACTCTGAAAGCATTTGGATCCCGGGACTCAGCTGTTGTTTTTTTTCCCACACACTACAGTATCAGATCAGCTCTCTGAAGTCTTGTGGCCATCTGGTGAACTTGAAAATCCAACACCTAAGCCTAAACCAAGATGAGGGACTCTGACCTTGCCTACATGTTGTCCTCTCCTCTTGTCAAACAAACCAGATGTCATAGCATCATTTTAAAATGTGACTGTTAAGGCCAGAGAGGTAAAGCTCCGAGTAACAAAACAGGTGATTCTTGGATTTATTTTCAGTTTGCATGCTGGCTAACAAGATAAAATCTTCAATAAGTCAACTCAAGAGTTGTGTGAAGGTATACTTTACTATTTGGCAAGTCATAAGCCCCTGTTTCTGTCTTTTATGCTAATCTGGCCCAAGCATGATGCTGAATGCACCAAGAGGGAAAAAATATCAGTCCTCTCATCTCCTTATGCAAAATTTTGAAAATTCTAATTATTTCTTTAAGACTCGGGGTGACTTACCCATCACCTGTATTGAGCTGAGCATCACACTCTCAAGATTTTTGCTCTCTGATGCTTCATTATGACCATAAAAATATTTCCTCCAGTATGAGCGTGCATGCCTCTTTTGTGTGTGTGTGTGGCTGAGCCAGACATCACCATTTAATTCTGGGGGGCATAAAAGACTATTACAGGGTCCAGATGGTGCAGGTATGAGGCTTTTTTGAACACACACACACACCCACACACACACACACACATACACACTTGTAATTGAATGAATAAATAGACAAATTCTAGGATATTCCCAAGCCACCAAATAAGCACAGCTGTGGGAGCAGTACACCAAGTTAACACAATGTCAGCACAATGTCAGTGCACGCGTACACACACACACTAACAGACGCACACACACATGCGACAGACACAGAAACATGCAGTTGTACATGCAGCCACTCATGCACGCCTTTACACAATTACACAAAGGGAATAAGTTCTCTTATCTCATTTGTAATTCTGTCCATCTTATCCCCACTTCACTCATTCCCAGGTCCCCCGGTTGTCATGGTTTTATAATTCATAAACTGTCAGGAAGGGGATGTCTGTATGTGTGGCTTGTACTCTGCCCGACATCAGAGAGTGAGTAAATGAGGGATAAAACGAGAGAGGGGAGGAAAGAAACATCATACATGCAGTGCTTTTACAGTAAATGCACAGAGCAGCCATGCATACATACTGTGCAGCGTGTAGCACACTTTACAGTGGCACAATTTCACAGTCAGTATGGAGGACAGAGGAAAACAACCTCAAGATTCATCTTATTTCTTCAAGGAAACAAAAAGGATTTTGCTCCGAACATCATTCACAAATGAGCTAATAGTGAGCTGTAATTGGACTGACCCTATTTCTTTGTGGTAGTATCTTAAGATCTTATTTGGATAAAGAAAAATAGATGTTACTGGAAATTGTGTTGTTTTGTTTTTTGTTTTAAACAGACCTAAGCTTGCTGTAAATGCAACCTGTACAGTTTGGCTATTCTTCAGAAAAAATCCTGCCCAAACAGTTAAAAGTTTATCCAACTGTACCCTTTTCTTACTCGTTCACTGCATAGCAAAAATGAGTTCAGCCCGTGCAGAAATATTGTTTTTCTTGGCTTGAGATGTATCACATTTGTCGAAAAATATTCCAGCATTTTCTAATTAATATGTAAATTAGGGTTCAGGACAGTCTTTCAGGAATGCAGCTTTATTAGCAAAGGCACCTGCATAACTCCACCGCAACGGTAGAAAAACAAGAGTGTCTAAATGCCTTCCGTGAAAAATCCAAAACAATGTCGACATCCTAATGTATATAAATCACAAAAAA